CCCCCTCTCGGCCAACTCTTGGCCCCTCCCCGTGCTGTGGCCTTCGACTAGGCAGTACCCCCTTTCCTCGGGCCCTCCAACCTCTCTTTTGGCCTGTCATCCAGGCTGTCAGACAGAGCTAGGGCCTGTCAGGATGCCAATGGGTTGATGGAGCAGCTAGTTGGAGGGTCAGTGCCCTGGACCCACCCCGCCCCGCAGCCAAGGGCACCTGCTTGGCACAGACTCTCTTAGTAGTCGCTGAGTCCTGTGGACTGAACAGAGTCCTCTCAGACAGGGGAGTCGGCAGAGTTGGGCTGGTCACCTAAGGGGAGGAAGACACTACAAAGTTCATCCTTGCCAAGAGGGTTTTGGGATTTGAAAATTCCCCACCCCCACCTTAATCTTCCCTTTCCTCTGAGTTTAGATTCCAAGGCTGGACCACGTTGGCTCCTCTTTCAGGCTTGGGCCATGCCCTTGGACTGAGTGTCAGTCAGCATAGACCCGCCCTCCCTAGCTCACAGCCCTCAAGCCTGCCACGCCCCCAGCCCCCTCCTTGGGCCATGCTGCAGGGCCTGGTTTTTCCTGCTGATTCATGCGTTGGAACTGTGGGGGCGGGGCTTAGAACTTGGAACAAAGTTCAGACATGGAGGGGCCGGCAGACAGCCTGGAATTCATACCAGATGTACCCGGAATGTACAAGCGGAATGCCTGGCATCTGAGAGTCCTGGGGAAGCTGCCCAACCACCCTGCCCATACTTCCCTCCCTTTCAGCCCTTGATCCACTGTCCTTTCTTGCATACTCCCAGGAGTCTCTGCTGACCTTCTTCCAAACTCTAGACCTCCTCCCTTCCTCACTCTTCCCCAGATCTAGGCCCCTAAAACTCTCCTTCTAGCTGAACTCCTTGGAAACAAGACAACTGGCTAATCACTAAACTTAACATTTCCGTACTTGATGTATAACTTCTCACCTAGTGCCTGGGTGACTGGTGATGTTCACGTTCTCAGGCCCTGCCCTCTCTGTCTAGGAACACTGAGGAGGCAGGGCCCCTGGTGAAATGCAGGGGCAGTGAAGTGACAGCCGAACTGTAATTCTGTAGCTTCCAGTTCTGAGAGGAGGAACGAGGGAAGTATGCTTAAAACTGCTTCTTGCTTCTCACTGACGTTTAACAGCTCCGGTAAGCTCAGGTTAGAGCCAAGAACTCTTCCTTGAAGATCTGTTAGGGTGGCCAATGGGACAGTGCCCCTGTGACATGACCCTTCTCAGGTCCTTCCATTTGTCTTCCTTTTCCCTCTAGGACCCTGTCTGTACCTCCCACTTCCTCACCTGGCTGAGCCGCAGTAGTTCTTCAGTGGCAAGCTTTATGTCCTGACCCAGCTAAAGCTGCCAGTTGAAGAACTGTTGCCCTCTGCCCCTGACATCAAGGAGGAAGAGGAAGAAGAGGAGGAAGAACTGCTTTCCTGTCATCTGGAAGGTGACAGAACTGGGACTGAGAAGGTCTGAGTAGTGGAGGTGATAATACGTTTTGAGGATGGGAGCCCTACTCAGCTAGGGGAGCTTCACCCACAATGACATTATTGTTGTTAAATGCCATTGAGTTGGTTCTGACTCATAGCAACCCTGTATAGCATTTCTAAGTAACAGCTGGTGGGTTTGAACCACTGACCTTGTGTTTGTTAGCAGTCCGGTGCTGATTCTACAGTGCCACACCAGGACTCTTAACATTGACCCTATAAAACAGCAATTTGATGTTGGAGATCTGGCTGAATTGGAGAGTAGATAGATGGTTTTTAATTATCCAAGGTTAATCTATCCTTGTGGGACTGACAACAGGAAGAAATGGAGAGAAGTCTGTCCACCCCATCACCCAGGTTCCCTTCTTGATCCTTCCTCCTTATTTCCCATTCTTTTTTTCTGACTTTTCCAGATGTGGTCCAAAATTAAGTGTATGCTTCAGAAAAAAGGTAATTCTGTAATTCTCATTTTACTTTTCCCTGTATTTTCTTAGACTGGCCCAGATTCGATTCAGAAGTGCTCATCTACATCTGGACTCTTACATCTCCAGCCTAAGTGTCTTTACCTGTGAGATGGGGAATCACACAGATGAGTATGAATGAGAGGATCAGAAGCCCAGTTTACAGACTCAAAACCTGGGCCCTCCTCCCCCTGTGGATGGGAATGAAACAACTTTTCACATAAGCTATAGTCCTCCCCTTCCTAGAACCTGGAGAGCTCTCAGGGACAATGGGGACCAGGTGTAGAATAATGCAAGGGGCTAATGGAGCACCATCACTATGCTGCCTTCCTACATACACACAAAGGTGGTGCCATGTTTCCCCTGCCACCTAGCGCAGGACCATAGCCCCAAATGGGGTTCCAGTTACTGCAGCTTTCTTTCTTCCCTCACTTTACTTTTCAGGATTAAGTGCGAGACTTAGTTCCTTGTGGAATTGACTACCTTTTGGTCATCAGGCACTGATCCAATCTCACTCTTGGGTTCATGCTCTGAGAAGTGTTGGCTCAGTCTACCTGTCTAAAGGCAGCCAAGTTCACGGACTTATAGGAAGATTTATTTTGTCTCGGGGGTGGAGGTGTGCAGGCAGTTGGATCCTAGTCTCCAGAAACTGAGGAATTGAAAAGTTTAGGGGCAAGTAGACCATTGAATTCTATAACTTAAACTGTGGGAGAGTGGGTGGGTAGACTGAGGCTGCAACAAAGATTGCTTTGTCCCTAGATATTGATTCCATTCTTTCTTCCCCTCCTCACATCACTAGCCACAACATCTCTCCAGCCCTGTGCATGTGGCTCTGTCATTCTGACACAACATGAAGCAGACATGTGAAGGGGCAGGGCAGGCTGGAAACACAGGAGGCAGGGAGAAGGTCAGTGAAGAACTAGGCCTGGAGACCTAGCCAGGTAGTCCATGGAGCCCATAAACACCCTAGGAGGAGGGAAGGGGGCTAGCTTCTGTCATGGAGGGGCTTCCAGCCATCTCCTGCTTTCCTCACCACTTTTCTCCAGTCTTCTTGCTTCTCTGAGGTGTAGAACCATGTTAAGTAAGTGTCCTGTGGCTTCATCTTCCTGTAATTTTAAAATGAAGCAGCTCAAGGAACAGGAAAGAGCCAGCTATAAAAGGATATGTACAGGAAATTCTTATAAGTCAAATGAATAAAAACCATGATGGGGAAAAATGTGTGCTTCATTTGTGATTAAAGAAAGGCAGATTGACCCAAAAGTATTTTCCCCTTAGCAAACTATAATAGAAAGAAAAGAGGAGCCAGTGTTGGCAAAGGAGTGCTGAAGTGACATGCCATCCATTGTATATGGGAATATAAATTGGGACAGCCTGCTTGAATAGCAATTGGATAATATGGATCAAACACCCTAAAAGCTCTCAGGGTCTTTGACCTAGTAATTATTCTACATTTGGGAATTTTTCCTAAGAAAATAATTAAGACTTTAGGTATAAGATGTTCATCTCAGCAATAGAAAAAAATAAGCAAATGTTTGGGAATTCATGTCTTTTCTCCTGTAATGAAAATTTGCAATAGGGGATTGCTTAAGTAAATTATTGTATATATATCCAGATGGTGCAGCCATTAAGAGTCATGTAGAAGAACATTTGACTAGGAAGAAAAATGCTTTTGAAAGACCGAGGACATGCTCCAGACTGTTAATACTGGAATAAAGTAGCTGTAATTTTCCTCTTTATGTTTTTTCCCATAATGTCCACATTTTCTTCATTAATCATGTACTGCTTTTGTATAATAAATAACTTTTTTTTTTTTTTTTTTAAATCAGTGTGATTTTTTTCAACCTCTGGGAAGGTGGGTGTAGAGGAGTGAAAATATTCCTGGTCTCTTTGGTTTTAGTGGGTTTTGATGGAGAAGGAGGTTATGAGTGTTTTTTTGGGGGGGATAACTATAAACAACAACTACAGTGAAAACTGCCACCCATCAAGGCGATAAAGTTACTCTAGGGCTTAAGTGATCTAGGACCCTAACAGTCCTACTACTGAAAGCAGGGTGGGTCTTTGTGTTTTCTACTGATTCTGACTCCACCCACCTGGTGAACCTGTGTGACCTTTTCTTTTTGTTTTACCTGTGGAAAAGGTATCAAACCCTGACATGGGGACACGTTCAGCATTATGGTGACTCCCCTTGATAATAAGGCTTTCTGTAGAACCAAAAAAAAAAAAAAAAAGATTGGGGGAGTTCCTCAGTGGGTTGAAAAAAAAAAAAAAAAAGATTGGGGGAGTTCCTCAGTGGGTTGCCGCTCCAAAATGGGACTTGTAGTTCCATTTGGGAGGTGATATGTGAGAGAGCAGGACTCCTGGAATTGTGGGCTATGCTGTATAGGTCTGGAAACCTCGGGAAGCAGGTGAGTCCACAGAACTGAGGTGCCCCTTCTCCATAATCGACTCTGGGCGGATGGTGGTAAAATGGTGAGATTTAAGCAAGTGGGAGTTTGTTGCACTCGACCTCTGCCCTCACAGCTGTGAGGATTGGATGGGAGGGACGAGCAGCAGGCGAGAGGTTAAGAGTAAAGAAAAGAAGGTGAAAGTTTGTGGGGTGAGCCCCTCCCCTCTCCTCCCCACCCCCCAATGTTAGGTGAGATTAGATTAATGATCCATATCTGGAACTCCATGGGGTTCGGGACACTGGGATTTGGAGGCAATACCTAACGACTGCTCAGAAGTCCCCCTAAACCCCAAAGTTGACCGGCTGGTTCCCAAAAGCCCCCAAACATTTATTCCTGGCTAGGGCGGGACGCTATGAGTTGCCGTGGCTCCAGGGGCGGTGGCCTCACAGCTGCTCCAATCACCGCCCAGCAGAGGGATGGGGGCGTGGCCGATCCCGGGAAAAGTTACTGCCGATTCCGAAGGCGGGGCGGACTCTAGAGCCTTGGGATTCACCCCTGCGGGGAAGCTAGTTACAGTCCCAGAGGTGGGGGCGTTGGATGAGCGAGAGACCTGAGAGCTGGGGCCCACGGGATCCCTCAGTACCTATCCGGGCTGCCAGCCATGACGCCCTCAGGGCTCCTCGTGGCGGGTGTATCCTTTGCAGTTTTCCGGGGTCTGCACTGGGGGCTGCAGCTGCTGTCCACACCTAGATCTGCTGCTCAGCACCTTTGGAAGTGGCGGAACGTTTGTGTCTCTCTAGTGCACAGCCTGCTTACGGGGACCGGGGCGCTGCTTGGGTGCGGGACTTGGGAGTTCGGGAGGCACCAGGGTGTGGGTAAGGGATAGAAGGCAGAAGGAGGAGGTTAGAAGTCCCGGAGGGTGTTTGTAGAAGTGTTTCAAGAATCTGAGCAGACACTGATGGAGATGAGAACGCGTGGGAGGACGTGTACAGAGGGAGAATGGGGTCAGAGTCTGCAATGCTGAACATCGCCCCCCCCCCCATTTCCCTCAGGCTGTCGCTGTACCCTCAGATGGTCACCGATCCGATTCATGACCACCCACCCTGGGCCCTGTCGCTGGTGGCTGTGTCTGTGGGTGAGTGCAGGGAAGGCTGAGCCTTGGGAATGCGGAGGTGGAGGGCAATCATTTCAGTCTCCTTTCCTGTTCTCCTGCTGAGGTTCAAGATTTTTGGCGGTTTTACTAAGGAGAAATGAAGAACTATTAAAAGGGGGCCAGAGATTCCTCCCTAGGCCTGATGCCTACCCCTCCTCTAATGCCCACAGGTTACTTCCTGGCCGATGGAGCTGATATGCTGCAGAATCAGACTTTGGACCAGGTCTGGGACCTGCTCTGTCACCATTTGGTGGTGAGATTCTAAAGGGAGTAGTGAGGTGGGAATAGTGAGGGGGCACGTCCAGCTTGGGGTTCCCAGTCTCTCTTCCTTTTACTGCCTTCTGGCTTCCCAGAGTGCCTCTGACCCCAGCTGGGTTTGTTTTTCACCATCTTGGGCTGAATTGGATGAGGGAGAGGGGGAGTTGCCTGCCAGCCGCAGCTGGGAGTCTGAGCCCTCCTAAGGACCTTGGACCTGGTACAGATGTTTAGCAGATTGCAGAACCTTTTTTTTCCAGAAACTTTTAATACAGAGGTTTTTGTGAAGGTGGGCTCTCCACTATAGGAAGTGGGGATGAGGCATGAAATTTCGCTGGGAATAGAAGTTGGGGTACTAGGCAGATGCTACAGCCTCAGGGTGAGGCAGCCTGGGACCAATGCTACATCCAACCTATGCAAGGGTTGCCCCCTGAAATAAGGATAAACATAAAGGTCACTTATTTGAGGGAGGTTCACCAAAGTGCTTGGGAACCCCTTTCTTAAGGTCATGGTTGTTGGGACACAGTGAATGGCCAGGGGACTGGAAGGTCATCTGAAATCTGACTCTGGCTCCCAGGTAGTAAGTTGCCTCAGCACGGCCATTCTGTCTGGCCACTACGTGGGCTTCTCCATGGTGTCCTTACTCCTGGAGCTGAACTCTGCCTGCCTGCACCTACGCAAGCTGCTGCTGCTTTCTCATCAGGTTCCATCCTTGGCCTTCACCATAGCCAGCTGGGCTACCCTGGCCACTCTGGCCTCCTTCCGCCTGGTACCACTAGGCTGGATGAGTCTGTGGCTGTTCCGGCAACGCCACCACGTGCCTCTTGCTCTGGGGGTTCTTGGTGGAATTGGGTTGGTCACTGTGGGTGTCATGAGCATCATACTGGGTGCCCGCATTCTGGTCAGTGATGTACTTCGGTCTCGGTCCCACCCATCTACTCCTGGGCACAAGGAAATTGAGGGGACTAGAACATGTGATGGTGAGCCTGCCAGACCTGACCACTGGGACAATTCCATTCTCAGCCTTAAAGACTAGGGAGAAGTCACAGGCTTATCTTCTGCCAATTTAGTGGAGGTGGGGCCCAGACAATGAGATGGTCTTTAATGTACATTCCCCCAATGGGATCAGGACTGGACTGGATCTCAGTTCTTCTTCCATCTAACTCATACCTTCCTCTGAGAATCTGAATTCTCAGATTCCTAGGATCAGGGTGGGCAGGAACCTGGGATCTAACAAACTAACTCAAGTGGGACAACCAGTGCTGTCTCTAGGGTAGCAGGAAGCATGAAGTGCAGGAAGAAACTGCCAGAGGAAGCAGAAACCCTCTGTACAGGGCCAGTACAGGGATAGCTGGGGGAAGATGAGGTTCTACTGGGATCTGAGAGATCCAGTATGGAGGGGGAGGAGTCAGAAGAAAGCCAGACCTCACCTATGACCAAATTCTGTTAATGGGAGGAGAGTACAACCAGTGCCATCTTTAGTCAGTAGGGATGAAAGTAATAGTTGCCAAGAGACAGCTGAACCTGGGCCACAGCAATTGCAACTAATATTTCTGGTTCTCAAAAATCACACTGTTGTATCTGTGCTTAAGCTTAGTCTTACTGTATCCAGCAACTGGCTTTTTGCTTTTCCTTGTAGCATTATCTGACTCTTTCAGAGAAAATGCAGACTCTTAAAGGCATGAGTTTGAGGCTAGGTCTGTCTTCTTAGCATAGTACTGAAGTCCAAAACCATAGAAAGGACTCAAACACCCATCCTGGGTGCTCAGTGTAGGGTCCTCCTAGACCCAGGCTTTCTTTCATGAATGAATGAGAGCATAGGGAGCATCCAGTCAAGGAAGACTCTTGACTTCAAGGAGATTAAACATTGAGCTGCTAACCACTAGGTTAGTGGTTCAAACCCACCAGCCATCCATTGGAAACCCTATAAAGATTTGTTATGAGTTGGAACCAATTCATGGCACTTAATAACAAAACAACAACAAATCTCTCCTGGGATTTACTTGCAAATTCTTCCCCTGCCATTTTTACTGCATTCTTTCCCCTGGGTAATACCCTGCCATCTTCAAATAGAACATCAATGTTATGGGAGGTGTAGAACAGATTAAAGTTGCTATTCTATTAAACAATAGACAGAAAGAGATAACCCTCATTTTTCCACAAAAAAGATACATGAGCAAAACAAGAGACAGGAAGATTAAAACACACACACAACCTGCCAAGGAGCTGAGGTAGAGAAAGGCAAAGGGGATGAAACAGATATATAGATTAAGAGACAGCGAGAAAGAAAGGATGAATTGCATAGAGGAGATTTAGCAAAAGAGAGAGAATCCTGGGCAGAAGCATCGACAAAGTTTATCATAGATGCTTAGAGGAACCAAAATTATAGAACTGGTAAATGATCATAAAGAAGATAAGAAAAATAGAAATAAAGACTGACAGGAAGGCTGGAAGCACAGATAATCTAGACAGAACAATAATGAGAGTGAGTGACAAGGAGGAACAGTCCAGCTCAAGAGAGATGGAGGTAATAGCTAGATTAGCAGAGTGAGAGAATAGTGCGGTAGAAATAATAGAGAGAGGAGGTAGGATTAGTCAGAAAAACGAATAAACAGTAGAGCAAAAGCAGAGCCAGTAGTCAATGGAAAGATCTAATGGCAGGAGACAGGCAGAAAGACAAAGGACAAGTGGCTACAGTGCAATACACAAAGACAAAGGCTGTTGGTAACTGATAGGCAGAGACTGGTAGGAAGACAAGGAAAAGTCAGAATTAGGGATGTAAATTGAAATAGAAACAGAAACAAAGGGGCTAAGAAGAAGTGTCACAGAGAGGAAAAAAAGGATGGAGGAGGGCACAACACTTGAATCAATCAATCCAAATGAAGGAACAACAAAAAAGGAGAGAACACAGAAAGAGAAAGGAAAAGAAATAACAGAGACATTTAAAAAAAGAGAGAGAGAGAGAGGTGTTAGGGGAATCCCAGACACAGAATCATCAAAATTCAGGCACAAGGAGAGAAATTTACAAATAGAGACTGGAAGTGACAGCTGGAAGTACAAAAATACAGGCAGAAAATAAGAACAGAGGGCATAATTCTAATAAAACTAAAATACAGAGGCAGATATGGAAGTTAAGTTAGAATAACAAAACAGAATTGTGTCAGAATTTATTGTTGTTAAGTGCCATTGAGTTGGTTTTGACTCATAGCCACCTGTGATAGTTTCCAAGGAATGGCTGAGGGGCTTGAACCACCAACCTTGTGATTAATAGTGCTTATCCTACAGTCACACCAGGATTTCTAAATAGAAGTAGTATCTTCTAATCTGAACTTGTCATCTTAACTTAATGCTTTAATTGCCAAAAATGTTGTCTGTCTTGAGTTTTCAAAGGAAAGGAAATGTGACAAATCCATGTGAGGAATCTGTTTTGTGAGAATGTGTTGATGTTAATATTAATTTGTTCCTTTCCTTTTACCTCTGTCGTAAATTCATGGTCCAAGTGAGTACCTCTTGGTAGTGCTTGATGGCATCAAGAGAATTGCCTAAGAACCTGTCCATTAGGGAAATATGGCTATTTCTGCATGTTAACTAGTAAAATTCATTTGGGAAGGGAGAGATTAGTCACGAGAGTAGAGGTAACATGTAAGTGTACAACTGATCAAACCCAAATTTCCATTACTGTGACAGATGAAATTTCTGGAAGGTAGGACTGGATTGTGATTATAATTGAGGAAGTGGGAATCTCTTTACCTGGAGTATGGATTAGATAAAGATGATGTGGATCAAAGGTAGATGATCATCAGTTGGAACCTTAGAAAAGGTTAGAAGTTAAAAAATACAGAGGTTGGCAGACACTATATTTGGTACAATGAGCTTAGTCACCAAGTGGTGCTTTGTTACACTTCACCATGGTCTGGTGAAGTGGTCTCAAGACTGGTTCTATGCTCACTCAGCTACTTGCTGATGAATTATTTATCTTCTGACACAGCAAAGAGGATTTATTAGATGGGGTACAGAGACATCTTATGGTCTCAAAATATTATTTTGGTTATAAATTAATAAATTACTATTTAAATAACTACAGCAATTACTTGTTGAGTGTGATTATTTGTGTCAGTCAACTTGCTCAGTAGAGTCCTGATTTATATGGCTCTGTGGATTAGGTGTTGGGATATTAACCACAGGTCAGTAGTTCAAACCCACCAGCCACTCTGTGGGAGAAAGATGAAGCTGTCTGCACTTATAAAGATTTATAGTTTTGGAAACCCTATGAAGGGTACCTATGAGTTGCAACTGATTCAGTGGCAATGGGTTGAGTTGGGTTGGGTTGGATCAGATACAGGAGTCCTTAGGTGGCACACAGAGTTAATGTGCTTGGCTACTCACAAAAAGGTTGGTGGTTCAAGTTTACCCATAGATGCCATGGCATTTTGCTTCAGAAAGATCATAGCCATTAAAACCTTATGCACAGTTCTACTTTGAAACACATGGGGTTGCCATGAGTCACAACTAACTCGGGGGCAAATGGCTTTTTGTTTGTTTGTTTCTTACATAGTTATTGGCAGGGCCTGGACTCAAACCCATGTTTTGAGACTTCTGTTATTTTTGCTTGTCCATCAGTGTAGGAATTTTCCTTTAATAACAACCCCTCTCTCTGTGCCTTCACGTACTAGCCCATCAGAACACTATCCTTTCTCAAGGAATGAGCTCATGACAGACAAAGTCTATGAGCCTCAGTTCCTTGACTTAGGCTAGAACTTGTGGCTAAAATGCACTCCATGAGTGTTGGCTTTGCTAAACCTGTAAGATGTAAGAGAGCTTTCTTGAGTATAAAGCCAACATAGAAAAAAGAGGACTCAGAGAATAAGGAGAGATTTGCAATATTAATTGAATATTTGGATCGAGCTTTACCTGAAGCCAGAGCCTCTGGACCATAGAGTCACTGAGCCAAAAAACTTTCCATATTTGATTACATGGGCTTGGGATTAGTTTTTTCAACTATAACAGTGAGCTTTGATTAATATATCACCTTAAAGATTTTCCAGGTAATCATCTCATTTTACAGAAATTTGAAGTCTTAGAGAAGTTGTTACTTATCCAGGTAGTTTGTGGCACAGCCGTAATAAGAATCCAGATCTTTGATTTTATGTGGGGCTCCTTCCTGTACACTAATTTGCTTCCTTTATTTATAGATAGGCTGAGGTGTAGAGAAACTTCAAGTTAGAAATGTAGGATCCAGCTGACAACTGAAAATCAATCAAACCAGAGAAATTGCTTCTGAAGAGATATTTATAAGTCAGGATGCATCTTTTCGAAAGCCAGACTTATATTCACCAAATATTGATTTGCGTACTTTTCAGGAATGCAACAACTGTGAAGGTCAGAGGTTCATTTCCGTTTTCCTCTGCAGGCAAGAACATCACTTAACTTAGCAATGTGGAGAGCATTTATCCCCTATCTCAAAAGTGCCTTCATCTACCACACCTACAGGACCAGAACACAGAAGTGATTCTCAGATTTAGAAGTAGAAGAATGGGAAGTCATTCATGTAATATGATTTTAAGGATCCCTTGGAAAGGGCTCCTTGCCTGTAACCTCTTACCCCCTAAAAAAAAAGCATATACTGGGGAAGTAGCTGACATTCTAGGGATGATTTCTCTGGGTTCAGCTTTGTTCCTCTCCCTCACTCTATCCTACATCTGCCAGTGCTCCTGAGAGAAACATCTCACCTTCTTGACCGTCCACTGGCTGGCATTGCTAATCCCAAGCCAAGAGACTGGCAGGGTGGCTCGCTCTGCCCTTGCTCTCAAGATGGCACTGCTAGAGGAAGACAGAGAACCCACAGATCTGGGATCCCATGAATCCCTGCTGCCATGCTGAACCAGATCAGCACTGCTCCCCTCAGCAGCTATTCCAAACTCTGGGTTTTTTCAAGCACCTGCTCTCCTTCTATAACCCCCTCTTTGCAGAATCCTGTCTCTACCTTGTCAGTGAGTTGGGGTGGGAGCACTGAGGAGTAAAAGGGGTGAGAAGAGG